AATTACTGAAATATTGTCAATCAGCAATGACAGAACAATCAACAACATTAATTAATAACATTATAAAACACAATAAAATACCGGAAGATTGGAGAATGAGGGAACTAATTATGTAGTGGGTGTAGTAGTTATAGTCAAACTCTCTTTGGGACTAGGTAGTTCAGGCCAGATTATTTCTTATTCTACATTAGCTCTTGTTGTAGACCTAAGCAGTTCCTTGTTTGTCTCATTAGACCCTTTATTTCTACATCTTCCCGAGTTTCACTGCCATCGAGATCATTTAAATTTTCAGCCGCACAAAAGTCATGATCTTTGAAAACCATGCGATCAACGTGCCATACTCCACTAGTTCGTAAACCATTGACTGCAATTTCAATACTTGCTGATCTACCATAAGCTTCAGAAAACAAGCCAGCTACGTGAAGTTGTAAGTTGTATAACACATAATCCGGGGTTAGAATGAAGCCACTTTTCAACTGATTAAGTGTAGTAGCCTTTGAAAGGCTTAAAGAATTATCTATCCAAAGGCTGCACGCGATGTGTCGTATACTCAGGCAATTGTAGCATTATTACACCGTGCTCTCTAGTACGTAAAATTGCTTCAAGATTCTTGGAGTGCGTATGCCCATCCAGTACCAAAAGAACTTTTTTTTCTGCTGTTGGGTTTACAGAATCAAAAAAATGCTGGAGCCATTTTAATAAAAGAATTACTAGTTATATAGCCATTTGGGATTCTTTTTTAAAATTATGTGGTATTTGATTTGTTGACGATTTGAAATTCAAGCCGTCGAACATCATTGAGTGACGCCAAACATCACCGTATATAGTTTTAAAATGTAATCAATTAGCTCGTTCTCCACTGCTGTTGGTAACACACTGTCTCGGCCAAAAGCCTTTGTGTGTTCATTTGCCTTGATATTGGTTCTCTTAAGGTGACGGAGAAAAGTAGGTTTAGGGACTCCAGACTGTCTGCAGAATTCATTTAATCCCATGTCTCTCCTACGAAATGTTTGAAAAGTCCGGCTCATGTCGTTCACATTCCAAGTCCCATATTTTCCTTTGGGCATCTAAAACACACTAGATCGCTATGTGTTATTTATTTATTTATTTTTGAAATTAAGTAGGTCTTAAATACCCAATGGTATCTAAAATTGTACCGGTACAATAAGTACTGTCGGGTAAACAAGAGCCTAAAAGTTCAGACCTTCTTAATATGCAAATTTCATTTGAGTATACGATGAACTATAGCCTTTTCATCTGTCATTTCGAAATTATAACGGGGAATACTAATCTCTAATGAAATTGGACTCAAAAATTGGTTTTTCCACTTCCAATACTTCCATCTATTCTCAAAACTGAAGAACTTCGTGACTGACCAGCACTAATGTCCCAATCAAGAAACCATTATAACTGTAGTTGCAGCTCTTCTGGACTCAATGAATTAATATTAGAGTGAATTATTCTAAAACTGAATTCTCTTCTTTGAAAACATAGGTGCATTTTAAGAAGTTAGAACCATAAATGGCATTCATATATATTAAGTTTTAACTTCTTGTATCGCTTGTTTTTTTAACAATTTTTGTTTGAAGAATTTTATATCGTCTTAGATTTTCTATTTATATCATTTTTCTAATTTTACTTGTATAATTATACTAATTTCATAGACTCATTGACAAATTAAATAGTAATTTTATCTTCTTAAACTGGTATATGATTGCATTTATCAAAACGTTGCCATCGTCAGGGTGGTATCAGTCGATTTATTACACAATTCCGGTCATTGTGTGCGATTATAGCATTCTTGAAATATTCATATGATACTTTTATAAATAGAACTCATATGGCATCGATATACTCGTACTTAACTACAAATTATAGTTGCACATGTTTTTCTTAAGCACTTCGCCAGATGCAAAGATAGAAGTGTGTAGATTTTAGGCGCCCGTCAGTGTTCAAGAAGGCGAATTAAACTTATATTTACTCAAATGTGTAATAAAATATAATAAAAATGAAATAATGTTCCTATTTTTATTAATTTCAGCAGAATTAAAAACACAAGAAAATATTTAGAATTTTAATAATTAAGATATCTGAATAATTTTAATGACAGACGCTAAGTTATTAATTAGATTTTTATTATATCTCAGGGTCTTATTGATTTCATAATTTAATAATAACAGAAGTAGAAGGAAAGAAATAAAACTCAAATTTGTTCAATAAAATTAAATATAACGTTAAAATACCTTGAAAAATTATTATGCGCATAACGACACTACCTGCGTAAAGTATCGTAAGCACAAAATTTCCATTTTTCACTTTTTTTTATATTCATACTTCTAAGTAAGTAAAATAACGTTAGCAGTAATTAAAATTTCAATATTTCTAATAGAAGGCCTTCCAAAATTAGAATGTAAAATGTCTAGGGCGAAGATTTAATTGAAAAAAGTGTTATTGTGTACAACCAGTTTGCGAAATCATTAAAACCTATGTGTCCAGAAAATTGTAGACAAAAATGTTCTTCAAAAATTAGTACCAATAAAAGGATTTCCATTTTCAATCAATTTTAAAATTTAGGTAAGAGGGAAAAAGCAATGGGGTTTTCTAGGAGTTCAAGGGGTCAGTTTTGATGGCATGGTGGCGGGGATGTAGATGGTGATTGAAGCAGCAATAGTTATTTACTTTTTTACACATATTGCCAACCACACATTATATTTATGTTTGAATTAGACAAATATATATTGAGCGAACAAGATCTTCCTGGTTTACCAGACGTAAATTTGTAAATGTACTTGAATTTCAATTTGCAAATGTTACTTCAATTTGTAAAATGTAGAAACAGAATGCTGTCGTCCAAGAAGTGGATAATTTTGATAATAAATAAATAGATGTTTCTTCCACTACCAATAGATTACTTGGTTTTGGATGATGGAGTGTGATTTCTCAATCTTTGAGTCAATTTAGCTCTACGCTTAAATGCTTCAATCCAAAATTTCCTGCAAATGCCCTACGATTATTTTTGTCCAACGGAAAAATTAAAGCTATTAAGTCGATCATGCAAAACGTGTTTTTATGGATCGAGAAGATCCATAAAAAAGTTAACAGGCACACTGACATGAAAGTTATTCAGAATTTAGATCACCAAGATGTTGAATGACGATTAACTAAATCCTTTCTGCATGGAACCAAAAGTATAGTTATGATAGAAGGTCTTGTCTCTGACAGCTTTAATATCACTAGAGGCTTGCGACAAGGTGATATCTAGCTACTGTATTTTTTAATCTAATACTGGAAAGAATTCCAAAGGGAACACATATGCGGACGACCTTGCCCTAATAACAAGAAGACCAACAGAATTAAGAGAAATTTTAAGACGCGAGAGAACAGCTAGGAAGTATGGGCTGGAGTTAAATGAAGAGAAAACAAAGTATATGGAGATGAGAGGAAAAAATGAACATTTAGGACAGTTTTGGAAAGTATCTACTCCAGACAAGATGGTTGGACAGTTCGATTATTTGGCAGTGACGCTAAAAAATAAAAAATGAAGAGACTCGAGAAATAAAAAAAAAAGAATGTCTGAAGGTAGTAAAAGTGCTAGAACTCTACATAAGATGCCGAGATTAAAGAAAATATCCAGAGGAACAAAAAGAAGAATATATACAACGGTTTTCCGATCACGTTCCGATTTTTAGTCCGACTAGTGGTCCAAATTCTGCAATTGGATCTGAAATCGGACCGTGAGTGGGCTGGTTGGATTAGTTGGACAACTAGTGGTACGCAAAGATCCCTAGTTCGCAAATATTTAATAGAAAATAAATTTACATTTGCACGAAAAATACCCCTAATAAAATACACGATTTTTCATCTACCTATTTTTTGTTAGGGCAAATCATTTTCCGTTCTGTAGATCTATTTCGGACACTTCCACATATGTCCAATTTCCAACGCCCCGGATTGGCTACAGAATAATTATCAACAAACAACAAAAAAACTGTTTCTTTATATTGTTCCGAATTTATTTTCTTGTGACATCTTATGCAAATTTACTATTTTAATTGGAAATAAGCCTGAATATTAGCTAGAAATTAAATTTATTTGACGTTCCGACTAACTTCGAAATATTTCGATAACGATTTCCGAAGTGGAAGTCCAAACGTCAAATACATTTAATTTCTAACTCATATTGTGGCTTATTAATAATTAAAATGGTAAATTTACTACAAGATCATTTTGTAATTGATATCTCCTTCCTGTATATAATTTACTCAACCATCAGCTTCAAACAAAATCTCAATTAAAGCTGTCTATCCGACATCGCTGAACAAAGATCCCTAGTTCGCAAATAAGAATAGAAAATAACATTCAATTTCACGAATAATTATTATAGCATTGCACGTTTCTGGTATCACCTTTCCCAATAGTTGTGGAGATATTTTATACCTGAATTTCAGATTCTCAAATGACCTTCCAGTGGCCAGAAAGCTGAAAGTTGCTACAAGGCGTTGTTCAGTACTGACACATTCACGCATGACGGTATCTTTTTTGAAAATGAGTATTGAGTAGACCAACTTTTTCCAGCAACAGCGAAAAAGTGAAGTTGTTCATTCTGAGCTAGTTTTTGTAATCATCCTCATCAATGACATTAAGCAAGTTTTCCTCTTCCTAATTTTATTTTGCGTAGTGTTTACTCGATACATTTTTTGAAACCGTCGTGAAAACAAACTAGAACTGAAGTTGGGCCGTTAGTTGGATAGCAAGTTGGAGCGTGAGTGGAGACGAATATCCAACTAGTAGTCTTACTAAGTGGGACCGCAAGTTGGAACGTGAATTCTGAGCTTTAGGAGTACAAAACTGAAGAAACCTAACACAAGATAGAAAGGAAAAAAACCATTAAAGCCTTTGAGTTAGAGTTACTTTGAAAATTATTATCGTTTGTTTCAATACTTTATTCTTGGAATATGTTATGTGTAATAATAATTACTTAATGCAAAAATAAAACATCTCAAAATATAGTCATCTTTATTACGTAATTAATATAAACTAACAACTATTTAATCGCTTTCATCCTCATCGTCATCATCACTGGATGCTTCTTCTGCTTCTTTGAGCCAATCGGCAAATGGTTTAACTTGCTTGCTGAAGGTGCTATTGTTTTCTAATTTGTTAAACCAATCCAGTATAACTTCTTCGCTTATATAGTCTTTATCGTACATGTGCTGTAATATTGCAATCACCCACTTTTCTTTAATGTTTTCGTTCGATGCGGCTACTTCCTAAAAAAAAGAAGAAATTATTAATTCAAAATGTTTGGCTACATTCTTGGTTCCTACACTTTTTTGCATAATTATGTTAACTTTTATTCTGAAATATTTAAACCAATTAGTGTTTTCGATTAACTATAATAAAAACTAAAATGAACCTCATAATGGCAGATCTATGTTGGCATAAAGACCACTAAAAACGATGAAGAAATCGGAGCTGGAGTATAAGGAGGGAAACGCATTAGTGAAAGCCTAGGTAATCACTCCAATCTTCCAAGAGAAATTTATGCTATAGAGATGTGCCTGCCAGGAGCTGTAGGGTATAAAAAATATACCGGATAACCAGGCGATATTAAACGCACTGGAATCGAATCCAATTAACTACAAGTTAGTTTGGAACTGGACGTACTGATATTAAAGGGAATGAAAAAGCAAACCTACTTGCGGGGGAAGAGACAAATGAAACATTCATCGGCTCAGAATTTTTCGTTGGCATAACAAGAAGCACAGTCAAAAGAACGATATCGGGCTGGGTGGAACGGATGAAATATAACAACTCGTACGAAAAAGTGGGTCAAACATTCAAAGGCTTTATATATTAACCTTCGAAGAAGAGACCCAAAGATCTACTAGATATGAATAGAAACAATCTACGTAAGTCTCCTGGCAAGACACTGTCACCTCAAGGGACATTATGAATAAAATCCTACTGACGTATTGAACATAACCTAACCTAACCTAAAAATTAATATCCATTTAGATTATGTTAAATCGTGTTAAAAATAATCGTTTTATGATTAAAAATACTTTTCTTAAAGTAAAACAAATAAAGAATGCTGCAAAATGTAAAGAAATAATACAAATCAGTTAGTTACCTGTATTGCTTGCAAGCAATCCACCATAGCGTTTTCGTTACGGATGTAATTCTTCAGGACAGGAGCAAAGTATGACAACAAACGTGCCAAGTGAGAGTAATACTGAACACCAATAGGCTCCCTTAAGGAAATACATAAAATAGCTTTTACAACGTTGAAATTTACCTAAAATGTATACAAAATAAAAATTTTAAAAGTACTGTTAATAGCGATTTTGATAAATTAATCAATTAGAAACAGTTTTATCTACTAAGGGCTACATATGTTAATTTTTAACTATGTTTATATACATCTAAAAGCACCGACGGTTTAAATATAATAAAATCTAAACTTTTTATATGAAAACTTCCATAGTCAAGCTAGAGAAAAACGTAGTTCTTTAGATGGGGAAAAATTCTAACTTGGCGTCAACATGACCTTGTTAATGTAATGTAAGTTGCATATTTTTGACATAAATTGCATAAGTCGATGATAATTTGATTACACGAATGAATTTCCCTACTCTGTCTATGCGACTGAATTATTGAAGGAAATGTTTTAGAGCCTCGAAATTTAGTGCATAGGGTTCTTCTTCGTGTATATAAGAACTCTATTAAGGTGTCTTTGGTATCAATATGAATGAAACAAACCGACTCAGCAAGAAAAACGCCCCTTGATAGAACGATTGGTCAGAGAAGAAGAGGAAGCATAACAAGGTTCCTAGATAACATCGATGTTTAGAAGGAAAACGCTGGTTCAGACGAAAAAAAATTGTCATAAATGCGTAAAATTAAATACTGGAGAGTAATAATACTAACTAAATACTACCATTTAAAGCAATTAACATTGGATAATCACACAACAATCCACAATTTCGTTTATTTGAAAATCGCTTTTACTATTTAGAATATCAGTTACATGTTGTAGGTGCAATATATTTTTCTTTCTCAAATGTCATGTTCTCCTTGAAAGTCGATAACTAATTGCACGATATTCGTTTACTGCTTATGTACTGCTGCTCGAAATAGTTATCGTTAGAGTACAAAAAACGCAAATTATCGTGTATGCGAAACGACATATTTTTAGTCATTGGACTTCTACCACCGGTGAAACGACTGGAAGCTGTGGTATTCATTCAATGGCGGTCTGCGAAATGTTAGTTACTACTTAAAGTTAGTTATTATTACACACTACTGATAGATTTAGGCTAGCCAATGTTTCATAGCCAGTATTAAGTTAAACAATAAGTTCACAATCACTAAAGTCGACTTTACATTATGCAATTTCATGCTATGCAAGAGCTATACAAGACAGATAATGCAAGTGCGCATGACCATGAGGCCATTTGGTGGTGGTGGTGTCGTGGTTTAGGCTGGAATCTCATTTGAAGCTCGAACTGAACTAATTTTCATCAATGCCCCCTGAATGCTCACCGGTATATAACATGTTTTGGTAGAAGCAGTAGTTCCATTTGGTCCATTTATTTGGGACAATTTCGTCTTTATGCATGATAATGCACGGCAACATACTGCAAGGATCGTGACAAATTACTTGGGGAAAGTAGGAATTAATTCTCTAGAATGGCCAACCTGCAGCCCTGATCTGAATATAATCGAACATCTTTGGGATGAACTTCATTGTAGCGTTAGAAGTCAACCAGGCCAGCCAGAAAGCCTTACAGAACTTCAAAATATGCTTTGTAAAGAATATGAACGTATTATTAAAGTTTTTATTCAAAATGTGTTCCTATCCCTTCCAAATCGTATACAAATGATTATTGATGTTTTAGGGCACAATACCCGATATTAGACAATTTTGTTCAAGTTCACTCGTAATTTTTAATTGTTTGTAATTCGTTTCGATATTACACTTTTGTCTTTTGTGGCCTTATAATTAAATAAATTATGATAAGGAATCAAGCAGTAATGACCATTTTTTGTTTTAAAAATAAAAGATGTTGAGTATACAATCTAAAACAGTGCATAAAACTTCCAATGAATTTTTATTTTCGGAAATTTAGAGGGTTGCCACTTTTTTACAGGTATTTAATGCTAGACTGAGATTTCCAAGTGAAACATAAAATTAATGTTTTGATATATTTCTTCTGTTGGCAACAGTGAAAATTGTATCTCAAAATTGCACAAAACTAGTTCTGATGTAAACAAATTAGACCAGGCAAGAGATATGCCATGCAAGACAGACTTGCATAGCATGATACTTGCATAGTCTAGACGTAAAGCTATCTTAAGATAAGTCCTACTAAAATATGCGCGACGATACTTTATCTTAATTGATGTTCCTGAATTTGGTCCAGTATAACCCGAGATATGTCATATTTTTCTGAGCGTTGTGTTTTGAAACTGTGTTGGAACTTTTGAAGAGCTCGGCTGGCACTTCAGTTGGTTACCCTCACTCCTTTTACTCTATTTGGAACGCAAAGTACTCTTTGTTTACAACACTCCTGTTTAAACAATTTTTAATTTTGTTTGCTAAGAGTTGTTAAAAACTTTTACTTTTCTTACAAAAAATTGGTTAATTTCAGAATTTAATGTTGTTAAAGTAACAGTGATTTAAAAAAAGGCTATCTTGGCTCCTAAAGGTCGTAGAACATATTTTTTGGTTTTAAAAGTTGTATATCATATGTATCAGTGAAATTAAAAAGGAAAGGAAATAAATACATCACAACAGCATAAAAACCAACTAACACCCTGAGATCTATTATTTCCGAAACCAATCCCAACGATACACACAAGAGATTACGGAATAATTCAGACACAGAAATGTTGGTTTATTATATTCTAGTGATTTCTCAGTAGTTTGCTTTATAATGAATATCACATCTGTACACGATCTTCCACTACGAAAACCTTGTTGTCCATCTGCTAAACTTATCCTCTGATTTATTAGCACTTTTGGTTGTAAGTTTTAGCGTAGTATTTAACAAGTTTATATCTCTGTAGTTTTCTGGCTGTTTATTATCTCCTTTTTTGAATAATAGAATTAGTTCGCTCGTTCTCCATTCTTCGGAAAGTTCTAACAGTTTGACAAATCATGAAAGAAACGGACAACAAAAAGAGAGAATTAAGTAATAAGAATATACCAAAATTAACGAGTTAATGGAAGATCAGAGACACGTTATTTATAATTAACCACATAAGCAAAGAAATATCGGAATTTGATATCAACCCGAAAGTACAACATCCCTCAAAGTTTCACTCAAACATAGCTAATGTCTGCAAGATCGAGGCCAAGTAAGTCAACTGTCAAATTGGTATTAATACTCACCACCAATTATATCCATTTACAGTTTAAGTTCATTAATAATATTTATTTTAAAAATTCTTTGAAAACGGTTTCAGGATTGGAAATTGAAACTTCAAAACAAATATAAATTTTAGTTCGCATTACAATCAATCGTGGTTTAATCGCATATAAAATAATATCTACTTCATTTTCTTTTAGAAAATATAGTCTTTTTTCTTTGCAAAAAATAGTTTAAAAAACTTGATAACTTCTTGGAATAAATTATCTCACATATATTAACAAAAAGGACTTATTATTTTTCCAATGGCCCCACAGTCCAAATTTACTCATAATTTTTTCAGTTCCCTTCCTTTTGATCCTTTGTATCCGCATTTTATGATCTAGTAATCTTTCATCATTAATCCTCACTAGATGACCGACCCACCAAACTCTGCAATTCTGACGTTTCTTGAACCATTGGTAAAGTATAAAATAAACTGATGCGAGCATAATAGGCAATATCAGAATAGGTGTGAGAACAAGTAATAAGTGTGATCTCGATACTAATGTGTAATGCTATCGTTAATAGTATTAGATATTACTATTATATTATATAAATAGTAATGCATAAAAGTTAAGATTGTGTGAATGTCTTAATGCAAGCTAAATAAAAAGGAAAATGATATTCACCTCTTTCACAGTAACATTATAGGCGTATCGGGAAGAGTTAATTTCCAGAATAAGATTATCGCATAATAGATTGTCGTCGAAACCTCTGGTAAGACTATCAATTACTTCAGTAAAGAATACTAAAAACAAATATTAATAATATTAAGATATAGATAAAACTATTATAATTATTGCCATGCAGTTAGTTTATGTTAGTATCCATCAATCTAGCAAACAAGCAATACTCCGACTTTGCTACTTTATTTTTATAATTTGGGAAAGAAATTTACTTCATTTGGACTAAGAAATTTGGGAATTTAATTATTAAAAGAATAAATGGGATTCAGAGCCTCGACGCCAGGTTTACACTCATATAATCAATCTGCAGTTGCCAAATACATCTCTAAAGATCTAATAGCTTTAAGTAACGCTGTAGACAAAAATAACGTAAAATTCACAGCCGCTGTAATTTCTATGTCGGATATGTTGACGTTGGCTCTAGAGGGAACAGACTGATATCGCCCCAATACTAAACCCAATGTGTGGATGCCTCACCGAACGTGGGAAACAATTGACCCAACGTTAGTTTCAACGTTAGCACCAGCGTTGGATCCCATGTGTGCAGCCGGCCTTAAAATTGGTTCTGTTTCTTTATGCGGGTTCTGATAATTGCATTATCAGCCTCTTTCTCGGGGACGCGGGTGAGGACTATGGGACGCTTAGGCATGTTATTGTAATCGATTACAGTCAAGTCTGCTCTCTCCCATAGACCATCAGTAGCCCTCATAACATCAGCAGTCCATTACTTGGTATATTCGTCAGTACAGTTAACCCACAGGGCATGATACTATGAATAACAAGATAGGATCTTCCCGTAGCACAAAATCGGTCGTGTTCGCGCATGCCGTCATTGGAGACTGGAATTTGAATTCTTGTTAAAGTTAAATGGGATTTGTATGCATTCTGTGATGAAATTACTAGACGAAAATAAGTTAAGAGGTTCAATAATTACAATAATCGTACACATAAGGATATATCCGAACTATTTATTAAAGATTATTTATTGACACATACAAAAAACTGACATTTCGAACGTGCAAGTCTCCAATGACGTCACGACTTACGCGCAATATCTTATCTTCTTATCATAGTATCATGCCACAGGGTACCTGCGATAAATGTTGTTGTGGAACTGCATAAGTTGATTTTGACTTCCTATAGAAGCCTCATCCACAGCTTGTTCCAATTTTTTTGCTTAGAGACTCTTTGTTGCGTTGGTGTTATGGTATTCTGAAAAGATCTCTCTTTACCATCGATTTTTACTAGTATCTTCTTAATTGACCAATCCCTTCCTCTCGGAATACCTTTTGAGTCAATACTTGGAGCGGACATAAAGTCCGCCGTTAGTCTTCACACTTGGTACATAAGTTTCCTTGGACGAAGGCAGAAATCGATTTAATTTAGAGTCAGATACTGCCATTTAGGGTCAAATACTGCCAAAATCACATACAGCTCCAGATAGAGAGGACATAGTCTTGACGCTTCGTATAAAGTTCCTTTAGGACATAAATATAATATAAGCTGTATAAACAAAATAGCGGTCTAGGTAGCACAGAGGCGAATGAATTCTTCTTTGGTGTCGAATGATGTGGGTTCTGAAATCTCCTGAATTAAATTTTTGAGCATGTATATTTCTGTTTCCGTCATGAACCGAGTCTGTATATTTATCGCACTTGTTTAACTAAAAACATGTTCTTCGATTTAAAGAAATTGCGTCAAATTGTAACGAAACTTCAGTGATAGAGGAATATTGGACAAGTTCACTTAAAGGATAGAAACCCAGACATAACAATAGGTCGGGCTAAGTAACTTTTGGTACTCATGTATAATTGTTTTTAGTTTAATTACTCAACAGACAATCCCATTCGATAATTAAATTTTTCGAAATGCCAAAATTTATAAAAATGTTTGTGATAAAACTACTAAAACCTATAAAATACATGCTAAAAAAACATTATTTCTTATATACACTATAATCAAATATTAAATACAGAAAAACTTACGTTTTGTGTCATCTGGAATCGGTGACTGAGTATACGATAGTTCTTCTTCACTCTCGCTAAAACCATCTTCGTCTGAGTCATCATAATTTTCTTCTTCACAGATACGCAACCTATGTGTCTTCATGTATATATCAGAAGGAAGCTGATCGTCGTCATCGTCATCCGATATTTTTAATTCATAAGCTTTGCTGCCTAATTTAACAAATTCTTCGTCTGAAACGAAATACAGATATGGCATTAAATGCGTTCAATATTCTATCAACTCTGACACTCCAAATCAACATTAAATTATCTAATATTTATTAAATGGGTATATTAAAGTTAAAGATAAATTCCCAGCGATTAATATTGTGCACTAATACTGGCAGTATATAGGTAAGCATCATTTTAACTAAAAACATGGCTTATTTTGAGAACGATTTCCGAAGTGGAAATTGAAACGTCAATAAACGTATGTAAGCCTTTAATTGTGGCTTATTCCCAGTTAAATAATAATTAAAAACATGGCTATCTGCCTACAAGATCCAGGCCAAGTAAGTCAGCTGTCAAATTGTGTTCAGCACTCCTGATCACGGCGCAGTAGACGAAATTTGGTTTAGTCCCCATTTCCATGCGAAACGCATTGTACTATGTACTGTATAATTCCACTTACAATAGAACCTTTCTGCCTTTACATGAATTTTGACTCCGCCTTCGCGCAGCTCCATGGTCAGGAGTGTTTACACTATCTTTAACATAATTTCTTAATTCATAAAAAATTTCTGAACATGATTTTCGAATTACTACAAGAACTACACCATATCATTCCATAAGTTTTGGGTATGATATATACGCGATTCTGATAATAAAAAGTTCATAATGATTTAGAAAAAGCTTTCAAACCTTCAAATGTCACCTGTCAGCAAAAAATATCCAGTACTTTTAGTGACTATTTTCAAAATAATGAAAAAATTAGAATTTTGTGTATAACTAAAGTATTGATTTCTAAGGAGAAAACTACTCTTCAACAGGCTCAAGAGCGACGATATTAAAAGAACTGAAGGGCCAATGTGGAAACGTCTTACAAATAACCGAGATGAAAGGCGAGAATTAGGAGAGGCCTATATAAAAAAAAACTAAAGACATACGCATCAGCAGTAGTCTTACTACTTATCAATTTGGATATATTGTACTCGCAATTTTTCTACGTCCACCATATTTTTCAGATTTGACATGCAGCTACTGGTTTTTAGCAGACTTCAAAAGAATACTACAGGGAAATAGATTTGGATCAAGTAAGGAGGCAATTACTGAGGTTTAAATTTTTAAAAGTTTCTTTTATTAATAGCTCCAAGGTTTTTTGACTAAACTGATAAACATACAACCAATAGTCTAGATTAGCTCGAATGAGACAAAGCATATGAACTGTAGCTTACCATCTTCGGGTTGCTCAGCTTGGACCAGACAATCATCAATACAACTTCCTTTTTCTATAACGGTACCTTCGCCTAATATACTTCCATTTTTCACTACTGAATTGGCTTTAATTGTACAACTTGGACCTATTACACTATGAGATATAACAGCACCGTTCTCTATTTTGGTATCAGAAAACACATAACACTCGTTCAATGTTACGTTAGTACCCACTACTACGTTTGGTCCCAAAATTGTTCTGTTGGCTCGAGAAGATTCTGGAATATTAGTGCCAGGTCCGATGATAACGTCGTTTTTCAGCATTCTGTTGCTACAAAATATAAAATTGTGGTCAGAATAATATATAGAAATAATTCAGTAATATATGTGGAAAAGGAAGACTAAGCATAGAAACGAAGTACTTATACAGAAAAAGAGTTAAAAAGACAAGACAAAACATGAAAGTAATCACAAAAATTTGGCTATAAAAGACTAGCAAAAGTGTATAGCCTAACATTACATCACAATATATAACGATGATCTCAATGCTGCCGTGTTAACTCAAAAGGGCGTATCTACTTTAAACTAGTTTGCGAGAAAAATCAGTTTTAGTGGTTTTGATTAGGCAATCGTGATTTTTTAAAAAGTTGTGACTTGTACCATATAGAAGTTAACAAATAGGTCTATACTATCATGTGACAAATTTTGGTAGAGTATTAACTTGGGAAAACAACACTTTTGACAGATTTTGACAGATACGCCTTTTTCACTTAACATGAGGTATATAATTAAGAACGTAACTACATGATTTTTTGAAAATATTTATTGCATTAAACAAATGCACGTTACAATATTAATGTATTAATTTCGTAAGTTATTCTTAATAATTAGGAAAAGTTAAAAAAGTAAACAACAATAATACAGACTAACTAAAATATCATACTCAGTCAAACAAATATTAATTATTAATACTTAATTTTCTACTCCGAACTAGTTATTATATTATATTAATCATCAATTGTGTCCACATTTTCGCTGACAAAAATATTTTTCCAAAATGCAATGCGATTTGGGGGCATTATTTGACCAATTTTAGTGATTATATTCTGTTTTCTTTCCATGGTAATACCTCGTGGTTGAGAGATAGAGAGTGGTTTTGCAATGCCATTTTTTTGGATATTAGCCTTTAAAAAATTGGCACTTATGATTTCTCCTTCAAAACTAGTTTTATAACCAAATGTATGGAAACCTCTGATGAACTGAACTTCCACCATTTGTTGAAGGTACGGACGAGGGACCAACCTTGTTATTTTATATTGAGATGATTCGTCTTTCCAGTTGTAAAAATCGTTAAAAGCCATGTCGATAACTTCGACATTACGTGTTGACGTTTTAACCGCATCTACAAAATCAACGAAGTCATAAACTTTACCTTTTCGATTTAATGATTGCTCGACTCTATGGTGAAATGAGTCAGCTGCCATAAATGTATGACCTGACTCAAAATATCTTAGGGTTATTTTCCTAATGTTCAATTCTAATGAGCTTACAGCATACACAAAAAATGTGTACAAGCACCAATTTTTGTTCTGACCGGAACAATTATCCAGCCAAATAACAACTTCTTCGGAATCCCTAATTTTGTTTTAAAATGCATAAAATGTGCTAACAATATCAGCCTTTTTTCTTCCAGAAATAGCTTCATGCCATAGAACAGCAACTGTAGAAGTTTTAGAAGTACCAACTGGAACAAAGCTCTCATTAAAGGCTATCAGTCTAGGAGTAAATATAATTTCTTTGAAAGTATCGCATCTTGGGAGCATAATCACCTAAAAAAAATTGTGTAAGGTCAAATATAACAGATATTATTCAAAATAAAATTCATACCTTCTGCAGATCAGCTGTATAAACTCTAGAATCGCCCGACGATCTGGAATCAGCGTAGTACATCTCTCGGGCCTTTATAAATTTTTCTCGATGATTTTTATATGTTTCGCATTCAGGACAAACTAGACCGTCATCTAACACGTGTGAGCTTTCTTTTTTATGAATCTCGTATTTTTCACAAGTAAAACACTCTTCGTTTCCAAGCTTTGCAAATGAAATATTAAGCTCACTAACGATTTGACGATATAAATAATACGAACATTGAATATTGTACTTTGCTTTAAATGATTCATACATTAGTTTTATAGTTATGTCGCTAGGCAAGTATAAACGGTTCGGAGCATGTGCTCGTCTATAATGCGATGTCGTAGGATTAAAGGACTGTATATGACTAATGATTAAATCTCTGTCAAATTTTTTTAAGCTGCCTCCTCGTTTATCTGTGTTAGGTTTAAGCGATAATTGGGAACTCTTTAAAGCTGTTCTAATTGGCTTATCATTTTTTTCATGATGTCCTAAAGTTGTCAGATAAAATACTTTACAAATATTTTGAGGTATTCCTTCTTCATCTTTTAACTGGTAGATAAATGTAAAAGAGCGCCGAGAACTATCTGAATTTCTAGTTGCGCATCTTTTTTTGGGAATCTTTAAAATGGAACTTGAATAAAAAGCTTTCTGTTCCTCGGAGGAAAGATTCCAAAACTGCCTATTTATATCTTGCCGTCGAAGAGTTGAAACTTTATTACTGCAATTTTTCTTGCAAGTAGCCAAACAGATTCCATATATTTTGTGTTTATTGACTAACTTTTGCATTTTTATTGAACGTCGTTCACTTAAACTTTCTTCTATTTTTTTCCGTTTTCTTAACTGTCCCTTTTTAGTGTATTTTTTGCTCTCTGATTTGTCTATTGCGCTTTATATAATACTGTGAATTAAATTATTAAAATAGTTATAATTATTGGTAGTACGATGTTCTTCCGTATCTGTCAATAAGTTGTTTAAATTTAATTCCGAAATAGCTGATGAGCTCGTTGTTGAAGCAGGTTGTAATAGGATATTGCTAATAATATGTATATTTTGGTCGCTAACGTTATTATCTGTGTCCCAAAATTCTTCACTTGAGGAAGATGTTGAAGGAAGGTAGTCTCTATCTCTGTCATCAGACACGTCAGATTCAACATCTGACTGAGCTATATTCGACAGCTCGTTATTTGTTTCTGCGGAATTTAAAGCCAGGTCCACCAACATTTTACCTCGTCCTCTAAATTCTGCTGAAACAAATTTTTTCATCAAGTAATTTGACAAAGCAATAATTATTTTTATAGTTTTTAATAGAACATACATAATATAAATACCTATTTGGTGTGAAAACCAAAGTGACATAACCTTATTTTCGAGATAATCAATTTACAATAACTTCAGAACCAAAAATATATACTTTGACACATAGGTACAAGGTAACAATTTGTATTTGTTTAACTTTTTATATAAATTAGTAGAAAATATACTTACTAGTTGTTTCTGCAAAATTATTATCCATATTTATTATGAACAACAAACTAAACACATTCTATGAAAACACGAAAAAGTAAGGTTAGAAATAAAGTAAATTGACAGTTTACTACTTTTCGTACCAACATAATAATATCTTGAAATGTTAAGTGAATAGGCCGTATCTGCCGAAAACTTTTTGGTTACGGCTTTTTGTGTTAACATTTACAGTTGCGGCTTTTAAAGCTAACATTTTAGTAGAAAATTCAGATACGGCTATTAATTTAAGCAGTATATATCCGGTTTTATTGCAGATATGGCTACGAAACTCAGGTAGATTTGTAGAAAAGATTACTAACTAACGCGTGGGACATCAAACTCGTTTTTAATAAAAAATTGCAGTTACGCCCTTTTGAGTTAACACGGCAGAATGCATGTCAAGACAATTTGTTTAACCACTTTGATACCGCAGCTTGACGAAAGATGGTTTACAATACACAATAATTCTAACGATCACCAACATTAAGCATGATAACGCTAGAAGAAAAGAGAACAACGTGGAAATGGTACAGTATAAAAACTATACAATAATAAAAGTGTTAAGAAAGAAAATAGTTCTAAATCAAATATTTTATAACGTAATAAAACATTCAGCTTACTTTTTTCGAGGTAGATTCAGTGGATGTATCCACTTCGTTAGGAGCTGTTGGCTAAAATAACAAAAAACGGTCAAATATGGTTAAAGAGATATCAGTATCAGTTTTATAGAGATTTTTTTAAAGACGAAATTACCTGAGTGCTTGGTACATTCTCCATGATGTGACAGCTCCACCAAATTGGTGACCCTTCAATACATGAGTGTAAACCGTCCCTTCTAAAATCTCCTCGTTCATCAGAAGGCCTCGTACTAGATCATCTTTAGTCTGGAAATCGAAATTATCGGAAAATAAGGGTAGAACAGAAGGAGAACAGATAGCAATTCGAGTATCCCTCAAATTGTGTAGTAGATATATGGTCGGGTTTTCTAAAAACATTTCCTGGAAAAAAATAACAAATTTATTAATTTTTTAGTTTACCTAGCACGATAATACTGCATTGGAACATGATAGTAATCGGGAACTGGAGAATACTGCCGTGTTAATCGCTAATGTCAAGAGGATTTGTGGAAAATTGGACACAACGCGACAGAGCAACAATGCATAAGAAAGGAAACCTCACCTAATCTAACCTAACTGTGATATGCATACTCTGCGAAGGCAATCTTCCAGCCAACTACAAGGAGTGTTCACTATAGAAGGAATTATAACAAAAATATATCCGGCACTACGATATAAGCAAATTAAGTCTAACAATATTAAACCTGAACTATATATTGTTATGTGACTGTAATTACGGTCATGTAATATCTCGAAAATTCCACCTAGTGTTCTATCAATGGTTTTTTCGCGATATTTTCCTGGAATTTTCCTCGTCATTCATGACTTGGCTGGTGTTATCTAGAACATATGTTCGTGTATAAAAACAGCTGCGGCGCCACTTTAAAGGAGACAGTTTTGATGCAACTAGGGAAGTGTTTATCTTGTAAAGTGATATATGATCATTATTAATGAGACATAATTTGTCATTTATATAGTGAGTTAGTTTTTTTTTTTTGTATTTAGGTGTTTAAATAAAAATAGTGAAACTATGTATTTCACTTCATTCCTGAAACCACAGAAAAACAGAACAATTGGTGAAAGAAGAAAGTGGGATTAAGTGAAAAAAGCTATTGTCGAGAATTTATATGGCAAAAACAACAACAAAACCAAGATGGAGGAAATTCGAGAAATGAGTGAGGCAGTAACAACGTCGTCTAGAAGAAAAAACGGCTGATGAGAAACGTCGTCCAGAAGAAAAAGAGGCTGACGAAAAAAAGCAAGAAGAAAAAGAAAAAAGTCGACAAGACGTTAGAAAGAAGACATCGTCAGGAAGAAAACAAATGTCGGCAACATAAAAGATCATAGAGCAGAAAATCGACTGATAGGCAATCTCCACAACAGCAACTCAATTCGGAAAACTAAAAGAGGCCAACATCAATGGGCGGACGATGTCTGCCCTACCCCAAGCCCCCAGATACTCAATATCGACAATAAGACGAAGTAGCAATAGTTTAGTTGCCGGTGCACTTCTCAATGGCGACAGATTCAGTTGTACCGTCGATACTTGAGCAACTAGGTCAATGATGAGTAAAGGTTTTCTGAACCACTCATTTATAAGGATAATATCGAAACCTAGCATATTAGAGACAGTAACAGGCGAAAACATAACTGTTTATGGGGAGAGATGTGTAAAAAAGATGTGAGCTAATAGCTGACATCATAGATGAATTCATCCTGGGCATCGACATCATGTTCGAACATGAGTTTATTGTAGATGTCATAAACAGAACCTTAGTCATCGGCAATGAAAAACTCTACTGTCCGCCTCTAGAAAAGAGGAAAATGGGCTAAAGATGTTAGTAGCAAAAGACACGAAGATTTCTCCTAACAGCGAACAGATTGTGCCGCACAAATTGGTGCATATGGCGGCTTAGGAGCCATGTTATTGGAACCAGAGGAGCGGGCCATTTTTACATATATGTGCCGGGTACTGTGGGGTCGAGTACTTATTTGGTTTGATATAACCTCTACAAATTCCTGAAAAAATCAAGATTTGTTTGGTCCCTTGGTTGTTACATTTCGCTGTCGATAATTATGTCTGGATTATAATTTTAACAATTGTTTATGGAATTCTTTTCTAAGCGCTTTTCTATATTCTTCGAAATGAACAGGAATAATTAGGAAATAGGTTACTTACCACAGGAAAGTTCAGTTTCCGCTCTCGCGATTTGCTGTGTCTCTTATAAAAAAGTACTCTATTGTGGATATCTGTCGCTAATAAAATATCTTCTAATGAATTTCTTCCTATATGACCAATTCCAGCTTCTTGTAAAATTACAGTCATGGCTGTGTATTTGTCTGCTTTGACTATTTCACTAAAATAAATGATATAAAAAAAATAAGTTAAAAAAAAAGCAAATATGCATTAGATCTGGTCTTTTATTCCATTCTGTGGTGGTAATACACTACCAGTAATGTGAACATTCCATATTGTTTGGAAAAAATATATATATATATATATCCTTTCCTAAAATTTTTACTTCTTTTCTTGAATAATTAGTGAAGTGGTAAAAATTCAAAAGAGTGGCAAAAATATACACAGAGAGGTTTTACTGAGACAGAAACATGGGTGAAAATCCGTTAAATGTTATCAAACTAGTAGTAATGTAGATAATTAGAATAGTAACTAGCGGACCAACTCGACATCAAGTATTTTATATGAAATTTTTATTTTGCGAGAAAAATTAAGAGATCAATACAAACAATATAAGCAAGAATATACATAACATTCATCAATAATAATGCAAGTAAAAAGTGTATTAAATATCACGAAATATTTCGTTGAAAACAATGTTTTTTGTTACAATGTCTCCATTTTCTGAAAACTTTTGCTTGGCACCGGGAGTTATGTAAACTTTTACTTTTTACTTTTTAATAAAAACGAAACCGGAAGTCGACCTCAAAATCGGAATGCAATTTTTAGTTCATCAAATGTCGACATGGATATCATTTAGAAGTTAATTTTGCATGCTGATCACGAATCCGGTGTCAGATTTGCTCTATCTTGACGTTTTATGCGCGTTCCGGGTCACTTCCGGTGTCGGATCGCAACCGGAAGTACATATTTAGATTCGTCTCGACGAGACCTTTTGATCCATATATACATTGTGGGGTCTAAAACTTAAGGTAAATTTTAACTTCCGGTCATCTCAAAACTGGAAGTGAATTTTTGTACAAAAATAATATCTTGACAATCTCATACGTAATACTAATAATATTCCGAAAAAATATTTTAATTATCTAATATGGTTTTTGAGTAAAGTGGTGGACAAGAAAAGGGCTTAGCGTTTTAGTATATAAGATGGCTTCTTTAAGCAGAATCTACTTAAATTTTAAACATCCCATAAAATTGGTAACAATCATGTACTTAATATAATATCAATTTAATAACTAAAAGGTTTTCAGCCATGTTTTTAGTGGATATACACATGCATATGTTTATAGCAGCAATGAAGATGTAATATTTATTCAAAAACATTCTGTGATTTCGTCTGAAAGAGTTTTTTAAATAAATATACCTTTTATAAATGATGTTTTACTAATTTTTTGTGATATATGGTATGCAGCCGACTACAGGATATTAACTTTTCTTGTGGAGGTACTATCATGTTTTAAATGAGTATAGAAAGATTCTAAGTCATTGTAATATTTGTTTTCTGTCATGGAGGGGTACACCTAGATAACATTATAATTAAATAGATTGCTATTTAACTCTAATTATATTCTGTTGCTGACAGATATAAAATTTTTAACATGTGTAGTTTTTGTGAACTACGAAGTTAGAACAAAATCATTCCTATATAGTGTATGTGTGTATTTTGTGTTTAGATATTACTCAAAATTTTCTATTCTCAATGTTCTCAGTGTATAAGCTGTGATAGATAATATAGAGTGTTTGCTGTGTTGCAAAAGTATTTTATTTCGAGTTCTTGGACTTCTAACCCTGCATATACTATGTATAATATAATATATAACTGATTTTTACAGAATAAATATAAATAAACGGGAAAATAGACCAGTTATGCAAATAAATTATGTAAAAAAGTTTTAATTACCTATGCTTCTCCAAAAGAGGTAATAGCTGCACATTAGACATGGTACCAGGTTCTAGTAAAACAAAATCGCCTCGTATTAAGCCCTTGGCGTCCAAATCCCTAAGGCAATCACCAAATGATTGACATGATTCAGAGACTAAAATGTTAACCTTCATAGTAAGAGTCCAACCATCTCCATTCTTGATGCATTTGCTAAAATTTATAAACCACATACCAGAATTATTAACACTTGTATAAGCAGTTACAATAAAGTTGATTTAAAAGGTTTTGTCTACAACTGCGGAGAGCACTATCGAAAGCAATGTGAAAGTGGGTTTACTAACATGTGCCACCCTTGTATACATCATATTTGATAATTTCTGAGGCTTCTTCTTCTTTAAGTTCCATCTTCTATCGAAGGTTGGAAATCATCATGGCTATGCGGACTCTGTTGACTGCCGCTCTAAAAAGTTCTGCACTACTGCATTCAAACCATTCCCTCAAGTTCTTAAGCCAGGATACTCTTCGTCTTCCCACATTTCGCTTTCCTCGGATTTTGCCCTGCATAATAAGTTGTAATAATGCATATTTTTGCCCTCTCATCACATGTCCCAAGTACTCAAGTTTTCGTCTTTTAATAGTTAATATTATTTCCGCCTCATTTCCTATCCTTCTAGTTACTTCCATGTTTGACATTCTTTGAGTCCATGATATTCGTAGGATTCTTCTGTAACACCAAAATTCAAAGGCGGCCAACTTATTCAGATGAACTTGTTTTAGTGTCCAAGCTTCCAGACCATAAAGAAGAGTAGAGAACACGTAACATCGAAGCATTCTCAGGCGTAGTTCTAACCTTATATCCCGACAACAAAGAAACTTTTTAAGTTTAGTAAATGATGTACATGCTATTTCAATACGTGTCTTAATTTCTTTGGTTTGGTCTACATCTGATGTTATCCATGTTCCTAAGTATTTATAGTTATTAACACTCTCAATTGCAGTATCTTCAATAGTCAATTGGATATTTGCATGTGCAGATTTAGTAATGATCAATTTCTGAGGCAGTTGAACATAAAATGTCGGGGAGAAACATAAACTGCTGACTGCAGTCTGTAAACCGTGAAGAGAATACAGCATTATTGTTTAGATGTAAGCACTAATTCTGTATTCAAAATGTATGGTGCATTATTTGAATAATATGCTAATGGTAATGGGACTAATAACTCATTAAACACAATATGCAGTTAAATTATTTATGTTTAAAAACCACAAGAAATTTGAGGTAATTGATTAGAATTTACCCTTTGCAAAATCAAAGGAAGTTACTCAATTGCTTCAAAATTCATTGATTATTCATTGATTTTGAGATATGATAGGGTTCCTCAAGAGATTATGTTTTAGGTGCTCAATCAAAAAAGGATTCCTGGTGAGTGTGGAAACTGTGTGTAGTGGGACAAAAACAGAGTATTTGCAATGTCCAGTTAAAGATGGAGTTACTACAAACAAAATAATAACTTTGGACAATGAAATAGTTTTGAAAACTAACAGTTTTAAGTATTTAGGATCTGTATTACCAAGTAATGAGGAAATAGGTGGAAACACATGCAGTAGAATTAGGGTTGGATGGATGAAGTAGAAGAAAGCAAGTAGTGTGTTAGGTGACAGAAAGAACAGAGAGAACAACAAATGCATGTACAGGAGTAAATGACAAATCTTAAATGGATGAATGAATAGTAAGCATTGGTGATTTGCAAGTTTCCTAGTTTAGTAGGAGAGGGAGGCCAAAGAAGACATGGGGGGAGATGCTTAGGTACTGCAAGTTGATAAAGGGGATTGATATTGTTATGACCCAAGATAGAAACTTCTAGAAAAATGTAGTTGGGGAAGCTGACACTGCATAGTGATAACAGCAAAGAATGTTGATGATAATGATTCAAATTTAGCTTTTTATATTTAAATCTTAAATTATATGATGTAAGTAAAATGTTTAAACAATTATTCTTACTTAATATGTTTTTTAATTTCATCTGCATGACTGCAACAAAATAAAAACACTTCTTCAATTCCACCTAAGGATAAAAACTCCAGAGTGTAGTCAATTAAGGGTTTGTTTAAAACTGGTAGAAGTGCCTGAAACAGATTTTGAAAATATATTTAGTTGATAAATTACGTATAATGTCTTATTTGTATATTAAATAGTAGTTAAACTTCTCAACTTTTGCCTGGTATGTTGATAATGTAGCAATTTATTTGGTACTTCTACTACAACAATTTCATTTGTTGAGTTTAAGTAAAACCTAAGGCTTACATTTTTTGAACATATGTTACAACATACAGCTTGGGCTTTATATTTGCTGCAGAGACAAATAAAGATTATTTGAGAAATAATTTATAAAGATTCTCATTGCATCATCTTCACCAAAAGTCAGAATTATTTAAAATAGTGTGCAGTGTTTTATAGTTTTGTTACATAGTATATTCTCAATTTACATATTATACAAAACCAACATATTGAAATTACTTACTGAAACCAACTTACATGGGGGATTGAATTAGATATAGGTATAAATTCATCTGTAAAAGTATCTGCTACGATTATCGCTTGTACAGTTTTTTCTTTTTGCACTATTTCTTTTTTATTACTCATATTTAATTATAAAATTTCACGTTTTAAAATTACAATTACAATATAAAATGGTTTTATTCTTCTAATCTTTTTTTTTTTTTTCTATTTTTTATATTGAAATATGATTGAAATGTTTGACAGTTCAATTGAAGGAAAATTTTTTAGGTTAGCAAAGAAAGATAAAATAAAAAAGAAAAAGAAGATAATTCAAGAAAGGGAAAGAGTAAGCAAATTTACATTTCCTCACTTAGGTATTTGAGCCACAGATTTTATGCATGTTAGACAAGGAAAGAGAGATTCTTTCCTTGTCTAAGAAAGATGCCATGCTATGCCACATGGGCCATGGCCAAAGAGCACAAAGCACAATGTTTGTCTTCTTGCCGTCATGTTGAATTACTGTCAATGTGTATGTGTCAATAGTTGATTGGAAGAAGATTGGAAGACTTTAAGGTTAACAACATCAAAACAAAACAAAGTAGCTAATTATTTGAAAATGGAAACAAATAAGCATAATCGAAAAAGGGAAAGAATATGCGGAAATGTATTTTTATATACTCGAGAACAAAGGCTTGTGATGACAGTGTGGTACCACGAAAGGATATTCACTGGATTGTCTTATGAACAATTGAGCAAAAATTTTTTAAAGAGGTTTAAAACTGCATCTCCTTCTTACAAATCAGTTAATCGATGGGAAAAACAATTATTTAAACATGGAAGTGTTCCTATTTCAACTAGATTTAGATTAAATAATAAGGCTACTCTAGCTAGATTGGTACATGTTCCATATGTCAAAGAAAATTTAATTCGATTTCCAGATCTTACGTTACGTGGGCGTGCACGATTCCTTGGGATGTCTGAGGCAAAACTTAAAACCATATTAAAGGAAGATTTAAAATACGATCTTGCTACATTAAAAAAATCTAATACAGAAGAAACTAACAGTGAATCCAATACAGTTTGAAAAAGTTATAGACATAAATATATCAGGAAATTAATATTTTTTATTACTTTTATTATTAGATGTTACAAATTTATTATACCTAAATTTGAAACATATTACATTTCATTATAAAAAATATTACTTGCAGAGTGCTACTTGCTAGTTTTTTATTGAAAACTATCCTTGCTAGTCTTTAAAATCTTATGAATTTCAATAATTATAGTTAATTATGTTTAATAATTATATATCTATAATTACTATAGTTTCTTAGATCACTTATTACAAATTATACAAAATAGTATTATACAAATAGAGAAGGTACTTGATATTTGGTATATTTATTTTATTTTGGTACCTATCTAATTTGTATTAATGAGTTTTCTAAAATTGCCTTTGGCTATACTAATACTCTAGCCTAGACTGTGAACTGAACATTCATAGGTTTCGTGTAAAAAAGTGATATCTAAATAAATATCTAAAGATTTTTAACTATTAAACGGTATATATGCAATAGTATAAGCTTAAATTCCAGTGAAATCAATTTGTAACAATCTCTATATAGCATATATATATATATATATATATTATATATATATATATATATATATATATATTATATATATATATATATATATATATATATATATTATATATATATATATATATATATATTATATATATATATATATATATTATATATATATATATATATATATATATATATATATATATATATATATATTATATATATATATATATATATATATATATAAATGCAGGTTAAAAAAAGCATTTTTAATCATTCAAAGCCTCCTAAGAATGATCTTATGGTGCCAGGAAGTGAGTTGTGTTAATGTTCTAAACTCCTGCACAAAATTGTTACACTTAATTAATCTAAATATTTACAATATGAAGACAAAATAAAACTAAGTTACATTGAAATAATAAACACCTACACATAAGTCCAACATTACTTTATCATGACCTTAATTTGCCTTATTGTTTCTTTAAAAATTTGTTTTTGCCAGAAATGCGTAAATAAGGAAGTAAAACTCCGAATTTCAAAAAGAAAAAAATCAGTAAAGTAACAATAAAATGCATCTGGGTCAACATTAATACCGTGTAGGCCCTCCTCTACTTTTATTTCAAAAATGTCACGTAAGAATTTAAATAGTCCTTGTAAAGAGATGTAAATACTTTTACAATAATTATGTGACGTATTTAATTTAAAATGGAGTCAGGATTTTTTTATACTTTGGCAACTATGTCAACTTCGATCTCTGTCAATGATAATGACGTACGTTGGTAAGTAAATTAGATGAAGTATATATAGTTACGCACCCTGGCACTAGGCGATGCACCAATCGTCATTTTACTTGTTAACACGAGACTGGCACTGTTAGGTAGGAGTGTACTGTGAATTATTTTTGACAGTTAATTGGAAAATTTTTGAGGTTAACATCAAAACAAAGAAAGGTTTTGAAATGGAAACAAACGACCCCAATAAAAGATGTAAACGATTACGCAGAAATGCATTTTTATATACTCGAGAACAAAGACTTGTGATGACTGTATGGTTCCACGAAAGGCTATTCACTGGATTAACTTTTGATCAATTGAGTCAAAATTTTTTAGTTCGATTTAAAACTGCTTCTCCTTCTTATCGAGCCGTTGCTGACTGGGAAAGACAATTATTTAGACACGGAAGTCTTCCTGTTACGAATCGTTTAAAATTGAAAAATAAGGCTACTCTAACTAGATTGGTACATGTTCCATATGTTAAAGAATCTTTAACTCGCTTTCCAGATCTTACACTAAAGGGACGAGCAGATTTCCTTGGATTGTGTGTGGCCACGCTATCAACTATATTAAAGGAAGATTTAAAATATGATTTAGATAAGCACAAAAATGCAGAAACAGAAAAAAGTTAATGAAAGTAATATTAAATTAAATGAGTTACTAATTATAAACAATTCTCAAAAAAGAAAATTAATGTTTTTTTACCATTATGCTTCATTTATAGATCAATTATAAATTAACTTAAAACATATTTCATTTAAATAAAGGTGTCTGAACTGTTACTTGTTCTACATATACTACAAATTATTTTTAGTTCCTAACCAGTTACCCATTGTTTCCTAAACTGTGTCTTCTAGTATCATGAATTTTAAGGATGCATAATTCATAGAATTGCTTTTTATGTTTACTGGGATGGTATACCAAGTGTAATTCAATCTAAAATGTAATATATTTTTGACAGAGTAAGTTTAAAATTTCAGAACAAAAATGACCTGAGTGGGAAAAGCTGTCACTGTAGACAGCCACATCCTAATAAACCAGTGCCAACCAAAACAGTTGATTGGTTTGTTAGACGAAATAGAAGGCTGTTGGTGAAAATAACTTAAATAATAAACTTACACAGAGCTGAAAACCAATTAAACACAATTGTAAATCAAACTTAAGTACTATAGGTGAAACAAATCAGATTTCATTTAATACTTATAAATATTGTTTAGTCCCTTACCCAGTTGAAATAGTTATTGCAAACATATTTGGTGGTGTAAGTGGAGGATGTAAGAGTATTTTCCTCAATGCTAGTGATCTATTCAATGAATCCCAGCATCATTCACCCCCAAAATTGTTATTTGAAGTTCTACTGTATCAGTAATTCAATGTCATTTTAAAGCGTAAGGTTTAAATAAAGAAAACCAAGTGTATTTTATAGTTTATTAATAATATAAAATACAATAATTGCACCCTACAATTTGCACATGTTTAGAATCATCAGTTACTGCAGAGCTGTACAAGAATCATCAGCAAAATATAAGTAATGTGGACCTTATCCAACAAGGAATGCATATTATGATGGATATTTTAGTGAGTGACCACAATCCTGACTACCTCGAAAATTAGTACACAACTATGTGATTCAGGTTTTACTATATTAACTTTCACAATGTTTTTTACATAGTTACAAGCCAATGTTAATATCCTCTTCAATAATTATAGGTATTATTGTAAATTGCTTTAGAATTGAATCCTATCTATTAGTTTTCTAATGAACAGATAATTTTTCATTGATTTTATCAATTGACATTTTATTTAAAAAACAGTACAATAGGTATTATAAATGTAAACTTATCCAATGAAGACTAAAGAGTAAATAATGATCAAGAAGCCTGTAAAATCAAATATAACAATTTTATTGGTTATTTCTGTATGTTTTACATTTTTATCAATATAATTCTCTTCCTTCACTCCTACTTGCGGCAGTCTTACATCTAGAATCGCCTGTTCAAACCTAGCATGTTTTATTGTTTACAACAAATTTACATATTTCAAGGTGTTTCTATTTCAAATAAACATAGCATAGATAAGTAAAACATAGTGACCTTCAATTACACACCATTAGTTGTTTACAGGCTTCTAAATTATTTACAAAGTTGTACCTTGCAAGTATAAGTATTGTTTTTAATTTTGATCACACTTCATTTACTTTTTACTAAAGACTTTACTTCATCTTTACTTTCAATATCCTTAATATATGATGTTTCATTATTGTTCTTTACATCATTAGTGGTTGTTGTAACATTTTCTTTTTTAATTTTCGTTAAAATGGCTGAATGAAATTCTTTCAAATCTTTTTTCAATATACGCCGAAGTGTACTTGTTGACATACCAAGGAATTGAGATCTTGCTATCGTAGTCATATCAGGATTACGAATTAAAGACTCTTTTATATATGGGATATAAACCCACCTATTGAAGTTAATTGCCTTTATTTTTTTCGTTTCAATTTCACCTCCTTCTTCAAAGAGACTTTTTTCCCATCGATGTAAAGTCCTCATTGATGGATATTGCACATTAAATCGAGTAAGAAAATTTTGGCATAGTTGATCAAAAGACATTCCTGTGTAAGACCTTTCATGATACCATACTGTTGAAACCAATTTTTGCTCTCGAGTAAAAGTGTTTCCATGGTACTTCACGTTTGATTTATTCTTTTTCTTTTGTTTTTCCATTTTTTTTTTTTGATAATTAGTTCTTAAACATATATTTTTATATCATTACCATTCTACTATTATTATTCTTCAAAGATTCATTATTTTTCATAAAAGATTAGCATTATATAAATTTAACCAAGTCTTTACCACTTTCAAAGATAAACAAACAAAAATAG